AGACGTGTGCTCTTCCGATCTCCCCAAAACCCCAAAACCCCAAAACCCCGTTTGATTAAACTATTCCAAAAATTAATTTATAATAACTGAAAAATTATGTTAAACTTTAATCATTGAGAAGTTATTTTCTCAATTGAAAATTTTAACTTCTCATTCTTATGTAATTGATATACTTTTGTCTAATGTTGAAGCATTTCTATCAGTAGTGTCCATAACTGTCTTATTTTTAAAGTAGGCTTTTACTATTTGCTTAATACTGTCCTTATTCAGATGATTCTAAAGTGGCTGCCCAAATATGCCTTTATTTTCAACTTCTTTGATCATTGGTAATTTTTTAGACTGTTTAACAACATCAATCGTTTTAAATTAGTTTGCTGCATTTAATCCAAACTCTATGTTTCTACTAGGAGAAGTGTTTGTCTATAACTTATTATTATTATTAGGAAGAATCGTTTTTAAAACCTCATCTCTGGTTTATAGCTACTCTACAGTGCAATTAGGGGACTCTTATTGATCTTATACTTTAACAGCTTCAGCATTTTTTTCATTTCTAGTAAAGCTTTGGCGTCTGCTATATTTATAATTGACAGGCTTGGTAATTTTTTCTAAAGCTGATTTTACATTTTCTCTATTTTTATACTCGGCATGACAACTTTTTCTTAACTATGGGTTCTTCATAATCTCTTTATCTCTCTAATCTTTAGTTTTGAATGGTGATTTAATCATATGAACATATGCTGATTTAAAATAGCTCTTTGACAATCCAGATGAATCTAAAAGCCCATTTATGATATGGCTGTCATTCAGCTCTTCAATAGTATCTTAGTAGTTTTTGTTAATAGAAATAGATTTGTTCGAGTCTTACTTAAGAAGAATTAGAGCACTGTTCCGATCATGTTTAAGTTTCAACAAATTACTGATAGTTTCATGTGAACGAAGATCATTCTTATTAAGATAAACAGCTTATTATTTCTAAAGATCTTGCTATAGATGCTTTATGCTTCGAGTGTTACGCTTTGAGTCTGAGAATACTTGTCTTGAGCTATTTTAATCTGTGCCAACATCTGTGGATGGTAAATTTTCAGTTTCAATTGTTCCATCCTAATCCTTGACAAAATTAAATGAAGTCTTTGTTATATAATTCTAGCTTTCTGTATTTTCAGAGAATTTTTAGGATATTAAGTTTATAAGTCCTTTTATGCTCCCAAAAGATCTGAGTGAGTTTGTTTGTAAAATTGCTTAATCTCTTCTTAAGTCATTTCTTGAAAATGCCATGAATTCTTTTGGTTTTTCAAGGAATTTCTTCCTAGGATCTCTTTAAATTTTAGTAATCTTAGACAGAAAAGGTTCACAGCCATCACCCGTAGCAATTAAAGGCACATCTCTCTCGGCGCTTAGATCTTTCCAAATTTGCCAGCTTTACATTTCCTTTATAGGTTACATATCTTGTTTTGATTTCCATTATTCTTTTTCAACCACTCTCCACTCTGGATATACCAGCTTTTAAGTTTTCAGGGGTTCAAGAGAAAGTGGTGATTTGTTTAGCACTCGACTAACTCGATCTGATTCGCTATTATATGCATTATAGCGAACTCTTCCATGCTTGTGTATTTCTTCTAGCTTATCTCTCTTTCTCACAAATTCTGTGAATTTTTTACCTGGTTCGTCTTTATCATTATATTAATCTCTATCCAAGTATCTCTCATTATGCTCCTGCTCCATTCTATCAGCTTTGTTCTTACTCGTTTCAAATGTTTTGACATACACTCCATCCCCTTGGTGTTTTTCATTTTCCATTTATCTTTCGCGAAAAACAACATGCGTGGGATGAGTGTTAACAACGGCACCATTCATATAATGATCGAAGAATTAAGGAGATTAAGCTAAGGATTCTAAAAATTATGAACGACGCAAATCCGTGTTTCTAGCTAGTGCTTTCTTCTTTTGAGATAACTCTGTCTTTTTCTCTGAGCTCAATTATTTTTGGTAATCCTAAGATAGCCTTAGAGGGTTTAATTATTGATTAGTTTTTGCCTAAAATCCAGCAAGCATATTTATTAGACTTAATTCAAAAATAAAATAGATTTAATGCCATTTACAATATTGACGTTATGGGGTTTTGGGGTTTTGGGGTTTTGGGGTTTTGGGG